TTTGAAATGACACATCTTGATTTATTTGTGCATTTAAAGGCTTAAATACAAACGTTTGAATATTGAATTTGCTCAAAAAATTTATGTTGAATATTTCCTTGAATTTCACCACTTCTCGATCACACAGTCTGAAGTTATGATAATTGAATTTTTCAAAAAAGATATTTCTTCGAAAAATACACATCTTTCGAATTTTATCATTTATTCATAAAAAACAAAAAAATCTTTCATTTTAAAATGATGTTTGGTCAAAAAACAGTTTGATGCATTATTTGTTTGGACTTTTCTTTGAAAAAATATGACTTTGAATTTTCAAAAAGATGGTTCGACACTAAAATTTGCTTTTTTAATGGTCAATTACAATACTATTCGTTTTTGAATTTTCAAACCAAGAATTTTAATCTTTTTACAAATTATTTTGTCTCTTTTTCAATTTTTTCTTATAAAAATAATGCCACGTTGTTCGTGCAAGTAATTCACAGGTCTTTAATAATAAAAAATCCTGAGCATTGACTTTTTTCCAATTCACTTGTTGTCGTTCTCAATTTGACCCAAATGATAATTTGACATGTCTAATCTATCTAATATGACATTAAATACGTTTTAAATAATCTGGTTGACGTGGTTTATTTCGTTATATTCACACTTTAAGACCAACCTATTCTTCGTTTCGGTTTATAATTTTTTTCTGTTGTTTAGCCATTTCGTTTTTTTTGTTCTTTTTAACACATATTTATGAAAAAAGAACAAAAAAAATAAAATACAAACCATATTTTTGAAAAACCACTTTATTTTTATTATAAATTATAATACTGTTATTATAAATAATAGTATAAACCCAATATTGTTAAATAAAAAACAGACTTTATTGAATTGTCGTACACTAAATAATAATAGGTAAGTTGTGCCACAATGAAGCGAGTTCGACAATTATAATTACGACAAATAGACTCCTTTGACTATATATTTTTTATATTTTTTGTTTAATTATTATATATTAAAATAAATAGTATTCTAATTAATATTTTTATACCCCGGCTTTAATTGTCGGGTATTCTTAACAATAGAAAAGATTTTTAAATTAATTAACAAAGACTCAAACAAATACAACAAATCAAGTAATTCAATAAAAGTTTGTATGAATAGCTTTTAAAAAATCAAATAACGTCATTGGAATTTAAATTAAAAGAATTATTTTGCACAGTAATTGATATTTTGATTAAGTACTTAATAAAGAATGTTGATAAATATACAAAATGTTTTGATTCTTTTTTTGTAACTAGTGAAACAATGTCATATTTAAAATGTCAAATTCATAATTATTTAATCAAAACGTTTTAAGAGTGTTTATTTTGCAACAAAAATATGTTTAATCTAATATCATTATAAATATAATGATATTATAATGTAATATATGTGTAAACGAGAAATATATTGATTATAAAGTTTGTAAATAATAAATAATTGGCTGATTTGCAAAAAAAATATTTAAGCTATATGTGGAATTGTGAAATATAGTTTTGGTGAACAAACTTACATAACAATTATGATATATTTGAAGACTTGTGACAAAAAAATGAAAGTGGCATTTTTAATTATGATGGCTGTTATTTGTATCATTATACCAAAAAAACAATAAAAAGTGTTTGTTTCAATGTGTGTAATTACACTTTTTTATTTCGAAAATTGGTGATAATCAAATTAGCATATTTGTTTTGTTATTCAACAAAAAAGTTTATATTTACAATAACATTTCCATTTATATTCAAATGGAAATGTAATTATTAAACGTAAGATTAGAAAATGTATCAATAAAATAAAAAAAATATGTGAACCAATTATTGTGAAAAACAAATATTTAATATAAGTACAAAACAACTTTAGCACAAAACAATATTATTTTAAAGATACAAAATGTTTTTAATTAAAAGTAATTATTGTGTTAAATGTGTTGATTATATCTTTTTTATTATTATCATTGTTTTAATGACAATTGTTGTAATATTCAAAATTTTGGATATTCTTGTTTTATTTACGAGTCATCAAAATAACATGTATGATACATTTTGATTTGAATATATTTACTTCATTTAAAGTTACATGTTTAATACACAAAATAAAAACAGAAACATATTTTGAAATGATTCAAATTGATTAATTTGTAAATTAAACAAATTATAAAGATTGTTTAATAAGTAAAAACATTCTTAGAAGTATAGTTTGTTAGTATAAAAAACATAACAAATATTAAATAAATAAATCAACAATGAAAACATTTTTAATACTCAATTATGTTCACAATGATAAAACATGTTAATAATTATTTTAAAGCATATTTTATAAAAATACTAATTTCACGGGAAATGTGTAATATATAGAATATTAGTAGTTATGACATATCATGAGAAAATATATAATTCAAACCTTTTAA